GCGGAACTGATGAGTCACATGAAGACAAAAAGCGTGTCTGGCGTACTAAACTATAAGCCTGGTATCAATGGTGTGTTTTTATCGGTCTACCTTCTTATGAAGTATATGTGATTCCCTCAATTTTTATTTGTTTCCTTGATTTGTTTCTTTTTAATCGAATTACGTGATTTGAACATCGGTAAACTACTGTCGCCTGAATTTACTAAAAGCCCTCTCAAGGTACCGACTGTTTGTCAAGATATCATGTCTGTCTCTATACACTCCTTTTTGAAGTATATAATTACATTTTGCACCACTATATTGTAAACAGTGCATAAAACATGGCATTGAGCAATATCATTAATAAATTCTTGTGTAGAATACAAACACACATAAATGAAACATGAAAGTCAGTGTTAGAAATGTTAATAGGCCAAACTTTAAACCAAACAGAATGATTTGAAGGACAATCATTATACTTGTTTGCTTTGTAAATATTTATTGCCAAAATTGCTAGTTATGAAATACAACTCATTTTTTAATTCCTCCAACTGAAATCATTTTGCCTTAATAAATCAATATATTTTTGATAAAATTGAGCAAACGTGCTGATCAACGTGCATATCGAACAAACTTAGATATATATATATTCCAGATAAAAGAACTTCAGTTTCATCACCATCAAGAATTGGAAATTAACAACAGAAAAAGGAAACTCGTCATGTTCAAAAACTTTCATATATGTTTAGAAAAATAAGTTGGGTTTTTTTTTCATTAAAAAAATAAGTATGAAATGTAGTTATTAATCTCTTAATTTTTGGAACTAGTATACTAGAATTTGTTTTACAGTAGAGAAATGTTTCTTTAAGATTATTTTTATTATTATTATTATTATATGGAAGCGATCCCTTTTCATTGTTAGCTTCGGTAGTTTATTCATTTTATAGAAATGTGCAAATTTGTAAAAGATTCCGGATTTGACAATTATTCTATTCTGAAAATAAACGAAATTTGTGAAATAATTCTAATTATTTTCAATTTAAATCTGAGACTCCATTTAAAACAATGAGAGTAGCAAATATTCTCCATTCACTCTTCTATCTTAATAGACGTTTTGCTATATCATATGTAATTGTTCAATTAAATTTGAGCTGATGATGCCCTCAGAGACTAACAGTCCACTAACAGTTGTATCGACCAAGAGCTAGTAAATGAAAATAACACTACATAAGTATCGTGCGTCTCAAGAGCTTTTCTAGATTTACCTTCATCTGGGTCCTCGGTCATAAAACTGTACTCAGTACTTGGAGTACAAGATTTGTGCTCGAAACACTAAATCCAGTATTCTGATTGGTTGATTTCTGAGTCTGAGTACAATAATCGTGCTCGAAACTTTTATGACCGCAAACCCAAATAATTGAACGCTAGGGATGTATAGATACGTAGAAATGTTAGGAGCTACATAACCAAAAGGTACATAAAAAGAATACACAAATTCAGCTAATATCAACTTGACTGATATGGAACCTCAGTTTGTTAGTAAATAAAAAGAAAAGTGGATTTACCAAGTCAGACACATACTTTTATTTCATACTGCTAAAAGTTTCTTGTATATTAGAATTCAAAATGTATTAAACGTTTTTTTTTTTCTAAAGGATACAAATTGGTGTTTTTTCTGAAGGCTACAGATTGACATTAGTTTCAAATAGCATGATGTTGACTGTAAGGAATCAAATGTCCTTCTTTGAAATTGAATAGAAAAATATAAAATATTCTTAACTCCATGGTAATATCAAAACCCAAAAACTTCAAATCTCTAGATAATCCGAAAAACTTCTAAAATAATATTCGATTGAACAAAAGGAAAATAATTGTCATGATCCAATTACTTATCACAGTGACATTTAACCCTTTGAAAAAGTTTCATATGGAAATAATAGCCTAGAAAACTTGTGTTCCTTTCCAATTAATGGTGACATTAGTCGACACCGGGATGAATATCGGTTCCCATCAGCAGTGATTTAGAATTTACATTTTTTTATAAACGATACCAAGTATGAAAATGCTTAAAATAAAAGCAATAAATCCAATGTTATTTCAAAAATTCTATTTTTCGATGAAATTATCTGTCCCTTTTTAGAAAAATATGTTTTGTAGTTTCCACAATTAGTTTGTTTATATAGTTAGTGGAACTGTGGAACTGCATAATACAGTATTTCTGACATAAGTTTTACATTTTGAAAAAAAGGGAATATGAAATAATATTATCACACGAGAAAAAAATAAATTACAGAAACTCGATAGAAATACCCATTTTATCAAGGAAACAATGATGTTTTGCCTTAAATATTTTTCAAGATTATTGCAAATTTAATATTCGTAATAGTACAGCTTTCACAAAGGGAATGTTAAGGAAAAATATACAACCAAATTGTTTAAAAAAGATAAAGAATTAACGAATGAATAAAAAGTAACGAAACATTTTGATTAATTTTTGTCGACATTACTAATAAATAAAGGCAACAGTAGTATACCGGTGTTCAAAAGTCATAAATCGATTGAGTGGTAACAAATCCGGGTTACAAACTAAAACCGAGGCAAACACATCAACTATAAGAGGAAAACAAAGGAACAACAGGAACACTGAAGTGCAAAAAAACACAAACGCCAACATACATAGAAACGAACTATTTTATAACAACTGCCATATTCCCGACTTGGTACAAGACATTTTAAGAAAAAATGGTGGGTTGAAGATGATTTAATGGATAGCCAAACCTCTCGTTTTATGACAATGTTAAAAATTATCGCTAAAATGACAACACTACGTGACAGAAATATAGCACAAACACTTAATATAATAGTAGACACAACATGCAAACCGCAGAACAACAACGAACATATTCCACCAACGACAGACACCATAGGAAATCACAAACAGTGACGCGCTTACGTAACTAACATGCAATCTCTACCTTTCTACAATTATTTTCACAATACTCGTCCAAACAATTTTCATGAAAATGATGTTATAAAACTATGATGCGCATAACTTAAAGAGTTTTTATAAAGGTACAGTTTATATAAAATATAACAATTCTGAATCAATTATTATGGCAAACATTATTAATCCTTGTATCGATTTATACTACCATATATTAGTATGATGAACATGTTCGATGGACTCTCATCGTTATACCTTAGCGGGGATAAAGTGATAAATATGGCATAAAAAACCATTTCCATTGAAATAAAAATAAATTTCGTGCGTCAGAAAACGTTAGGAAGTATATGACCAAAAAGGATCTAAAAGGAATAGCCAAATTCAACTCAGGTAATTTTTGCCTTCGGCCGATGGGACCTTATTTTCCTAGTGAAATTTGCTAATTTATCAAAGGGCAACTTAAGAAATATATGTTTAAGAAAGGCAACAGTAGTATACCGCTGTTCAAAAGTCAAAATCGATTAAGCGAAAACAAATCCGGGTCACAAACCAAAACTGAGGAAAACACATCAACTATAAGAGGAAAACAACGGAACAACGTTAAAAATCATGTCAGTACCGAATTACTGACCATTGAGCTGATGATGCCCTCAGTCACTAACAGTCCACTAGCAGTTGTATCGACTAAATGCTAGTAAATGAGAATAACCCTATATAAATGTCTTGCGTCCGAAGAGCTTTTATGGATTGACCTTCATCAGGAACGCTCAAACCTAAAAACTGTAAATTCAGAATTTAATTGCGATGTTTTTATTATTGCGAAAAATGCGACAGGATTATAATTGCAAAAATTTAAACTCGCATTTTGAAATTTTTTATATGAATTAATCAGGTATTTTTTTCAATATCGCAAAAATTAAAATCGCATTTTAGTCTAAAGTGACAAAATCGCAATAATAAATGCACGAAATAATTTCCGAATCTACAGTGATTGAAAGCTATAAATAAGTATAAACGTAAGGAGCTATATAACCAAATGGTACGACATTTTGTGTTTTTGTTAGATGTATTTCTATTTGTATCCATCTGATGAGTTAAGGATGTTCGCTTGTCAGGTTTGGAATTTTTGTCAGATTTTCGGAATCCTCTGATTTTATCCATTTGAATGCCTTAAAAAATTTTGCCCGTTAACCTCTACTTTTCTTTTCATAATTTTATTACACATAATTTAAAAAGCCAAATTTGAAAATCCTATAAAATCCTTGTTATATTTTCATAATTTTTAAAAGAAAAAGAGTGCCAATGTTAAATGTATGAAAAGTCTAGAGAGAATTATATCCCGCCAAATTTTCAATGGCTTATATCTCGAAAACAAGCACACGGACCCTTCATTTTTTCATTTTTTTCAGTTCCTTTATTTATATACTATCATTTTAGAACAGTCTTTTAAAAAGCTTGTTATTTTGAAACAGAGTAGCGAACATCCTTAAGCCTTTTTCAACTGATTTTTATAGTTTGTTCTTATGTTGTACTGTTACACAACTCTCCCAGGTTAGGGAAAGGATTGAGCTCTCACTAACATGTTGAACCCCGCCACATTCTTTATGTGCCTGTCCCAAGTCAGGAGCCTGTAGTTCAGTGGTTGTCGTTGGTTCATGTCTGTCATATTTGTTTTTCGTAAACTGTTTTGTTATAAATTAGGCCGTTAGTTTTTTCAATTGAATTGTTTCATATTTTTTATGTCGGGGCCTGTTATAGCCGATCATACGGTATGGATTTTTCTCATTGTTGAAGGCCGTACGATTGCCTATAATTGCTTACATCCACTTCATTGGAACTTTGGTGGATAGTTGTCTCATTGGCAATCATACCACAATTTCTTATTTTTATATAAAACGAATACTCAAATTCAGCTAAGATCAAATTTACTTGACTGATATAAAACCTCAGTTTGTTAATAAATAAAAAAGGAAAGTGGATGCACCAAGTCAGGAACATGACTTTTATTTCATACTGCTAAAAGTTTCTTGTATTTATTCATGTTTATAGATTTTAAACTTAAATTAAAGCAATATACCTTGGATGTATTATGCATTCCTAGATTTCCATTATCCATATCCCTTGGTCAAACTGTAAAACCGAAAATAGCAATGGTGTATTGTATATTCATAAACTACTTCCACTGACTATAAAAACAAAGAAATGGGGTAAACATCTAAAACATTTTAAAAGGGGACAGACAACTCCATGTGAAAATATTTTTATTTTTATTTTTCTTAAATAGAAGCTATTGTGGTTAATTTTAGCTAGTCGTATAAAAAAAGGTAAATTGATTTCGAACTGATATCAATGAATTTTTTTTTTAAATCATATTACTGTAATTACCAAGAACAGATGAGGAAATCGTTTCATGTAAGAAAAGCAACTTACTTAAGAAGCATAGAGCAAAACGGGCGATATGAATATGGACAAATATTTGTGTTCAGTATGAACAGTAATTAAACAGTGTACACATATATGATCAACATAAATGATTGATAAAAACATTGAAATTTATAAATAAAATATCATGTTGATAAAAAAGTGAATGTCTTGAAGTACTGATCAGTACAGAAATGATTTGAAGTTTTTATTTCAAGTAATATTCAATGAAAAAAAAACTTGTAAATAAAATAGCTAACTTAGTAACAGAGAAATTATAACTAGTGCATTTGTTAATTCATTCGTCTTTCTAATCAAACAACTAGTCTTTTAAGTTTATTTCCTAGTTAGTATAGTAAAAGTACCCTCTATCGGTTAACTTTTACTTTTGCCATTTAATAAAGGACTTTCCGTTTTGAATTTTCCTTGGAGTTCGGTATTTTTGTTATTTTACTTTTTACTAGAACGACTACAAATTAAACGGTCAGTAAATTTACTAGTTCCATAGTAATTTTTTCTATTTTTTTTTGTTTAAGTGATTTGTGACGAGAAGATTAATTCTTGAAATCCTGCAGTGTCATTGGCATAGACAATCCAGATTAATTGAAATCAGTGAATTCTTCGCCTTAATTTCGCTCAGAATACAGTTGCAGGGTTTTCTGTTTCGCGTAGCTTTTAGATAAGAAAATTCCATCATCGAAATGATATAACGCACTACAAATGCAAAAAAGTAAACATTCGTACTATTTACAAATACTTAAGTTATTTTACATCAACGCATGCACCATGAAACTTATTTTTAATACTTTAAACTAATCCCATTCAAAACAAAAGTTGTTTTATCGTTAAAATGCATAATATAGAACGCAAACGTCGAAGTATATATTCCCTTTTTCTTCAAACTTTCCAACTTACCAAAAAACGTTACAAATTCAAAGAAATATATTGAATTTGCATTAGTCTATATTTATCTAAACAAATTTTCAAATGTCAATGACAACTAGCCAAAAGTCTATAAGTTTCGTTAGATAGCTAAATTTTTCTTGCATACTATATAAAAAATAAGGAGATGGGGTATATTATTTAACTTATAATGTTTTTGTGTATTGCGATAGCTAAGATTGATAGAGATGCGGTTTTTTTCACAAACAAAAATCTAACGACAAACATTGATCGTAAGTTATACATGACTTATTTTTTCACGTAAGATATTTTGTAAAAAGGGCCGCTGTTTGTATTCCTGTCGTTCTTAATTTTGATTTGCCATATTTAGTTATTTCTGAAAATTAATGTAACTGCAGCATTTGATTGTAGAGTCAGTGTCAGATGAAAACATGATGGTTTGGCTACTAAAAAATCAAGAAAATATGGTATAAATGGCAATGGGGTATACATGCTACCAAAAATTAAAATGCATGCAATGTATTTTTTTTATCAATGAACTTTCCCCAAATTAAATTATTCGCAAAAAATTTCATCCAAAGAAAGATTTTATGGTTTTCTAGAGTGTCCAGATCAAAACTAGTCATTGAGTGATCGAAGTAAATATTAATCAGTTTTCAAATATTTTAACCTAATTGTCCATTTTTTAAAAATATGATATAATTATAATCCATGTTGTATTGAACCGACACCCTTAGTCGTATTTTTAACATGCAATTTCAAAAAGAAATAATTGAGCACGGCATCACGAGACCATCGAACCAGTAAAACCATGGTAAATCCCATTTGTTAAGAAATTTGTTGTGTTTTAAGCCAAAATAGTATGTGTGGATTTCGTCTTTTCAAACTTTTGGTGGCAATCATACATGATGAAGGTTATCCCGGAAGCACGTGTTTTGGATGAAACGAGGAGGAATTATAAGGACCGTTTATTTGGCCCCTTGATAAGTGAAAACAGTAAAATTCATCAACCTTTTCACAGTCCTGATAATTTTTTGAAAAATTCAATAATGAACTTTATATTTTCTAAGGAAATTGTTTAATAAAGATTAATACCAATTTTGACCTTCGAAGACAAGGGGCAATATTTTCTCAATTTTTTATTCGAATATTTGTATAAAAAAATTATAAATATTGATATACATACCAGACAAATTTCATGAGAAAATCTGAAGGAAGTTGTTTATTGGAATTACAATTTTGGGTTTCGAATTTAAGGAGCAATATCTTCTCATCTTTTTTTCCAATATTTGTATTGTAGAAAACGGTTATAGCTATGTAACATTACAGTAAAAATCTGTATCCGTAAACCACAGAATGATGGTTCGTTTAGAGTTTATAGTTGCTTTTGTTGGTTTATTTCCTCTTTTCTCTGATTGATGACCCAACAAATGAAAAAAAGCTCATTAACACACCTTTTTAGAAATATTTCCAATGAAACATGCGAACATGCATTGCTGGTGCAGTCAAAAACATGCAGAATATCGGTGAGGTCATCAGGAGCATTTATTTTATGTCTAAAAATAAAGTAATTAACGTTGAAATCAACATTAAAATTAATGATATCCAATGAAAAAACAGAACCGCTTTCAAAACAGATACTCTGCAATTAAACGTGTTACGAGATCCACGCCCACGTTAAGGTATCGAGTTAACCTTCAAGGATAGAAACATGCTCTTTGAAGGATATGAAAGCAATAAAAACGTCAAAATAGGCATATGGTGGATTAACTCGACTTGCCATTGTTCAAAGATACAAACATCTAAGATAAAATAATTATATCGAAGTACATGTGTGTAAAAAGGAATTTTGAAGTATTTAACATGCAGATTTCAAACAGCCTTGATTTCTCTAGATTTGGTTTTCAGAAAAGGGAGATAACTATTACAACTTACCATTTCAAGTAAAACATGTCATTTTGGGATTAAGTACTATTAAATCGCCGATTAGATCAACATACATTGATACCATACACTTAAAACAGAAATCGTCTTTATTGAAGCGAGGAACTAATTATAAACTCCCTTATATATAGTTTCAAGTAATACTAAACATTTATTTTTCTGTTTTGATCTTCTGCACAGTTTGTTCTGTGTAATGCATGTAATATTGTATCATCCGATGCTACATTGTAGGACAGTATAATTTCATACCAGCAGTTGAACACTTCAAGCCGGTGATACGGGATAATATTGCTTTGTTTTTGTTTTTATGTTTTTGTAATCTATATTTTTCTGTAATTTTAAAGTTGAGAGCTTTTCCTATACTGGTTTAATTGTATGTTATTTAACGAATGTGTTGTTTGTCCACAAGTTGAGAATAAAAGGGGGGTTTAAATGGCAAAAATTAAGGCGACATGAGACGGCTACCCCGTCGACGCACCTGGTCTCACTCCTGTTGGAGTTAATGCAATTCCAATAGTTTTGTTTGCTGCCTTGATTTGTATTGACTCCAAAAGGAGCGAGACCAGGTGCGTCGACGGGGTAAGCGTCTCATGATATGTATGCATCATCCGCCATACAAATTTACACAGACAGACAGACACGACACAATTGGGAATAGGACACAAACGGTTAAATAACAGATCAGACGACTATACTGGTATCGAAAAAAAATAAAAATCACAAAAATACTGAACATCACAACCAAATACGGCCTTGTATGGCGAAACCCATGCTATAGAGGGGAATTTGTTTGGATGTGGATGTATACATTCTCATTCTTTCTGAATGGGGACATTAAATATATTGCCGCATGTTAGTAAAAAGTAAAATCACAAAAATACTGAACTCCGAGGAAAATTAAAAACGGAAAGTCCCTAATTAAATGACAAAATCAAAAGCTCAAACACATCAAACGAATGGATTACAACTGTCATATTCCTGAATTGGTACAGGCATTTTCTTATGTAGAAAATGGTGGATTGATCTTGGTTTTATAGCTAGCTTAACCTTTCATTTGTATGACAGTCGCATAAAATTCCATTATATTGACAACGATGAGTGAACAAAACAAATAGACACAAAAATGTCAAAAATTGGGGAACAGCAGTCAACATTGTGTTATAATCTTAATCAATATAAAAACAAATAATTATGTAACAAAGAAACACAAAAAGCATATAGGCAAAGCACATTAGCAAAAATGAAAGACAAGAATACAAAAATTACCATAACACAATGACGGGATGTACAAGTACAGAGCCACGTCATATGTATCAAAGAAACACAAAAAGGCATATAGACAAAGCACAGTAGCAAAAATGAAAGACAAGAATACCAAATTTTCCCATAGCACAATAACACAATGACGGGATGTATAAGTACAGATCAATGTCATATGTATCAAAGAAACACAAAAAGGCATATAGACAAAGCACATTAGCAAAAATAAAAGACAAGAATACACAAATTTACCATAGCACAATAACGGGATGTATAAGTACAGAGCCACGTCAAATGGATATCACCAAAAAATAGACTAAACAGTAAAAGTAATATTCAAAAAGACAAATAAAAGAATACTATAACACGTTATTAAGATGATAAAAAACGTCAGACATAGAATCTATACTTCAAGACCATCGTGTAAAATTTGTGAAGTTGATACGGAATATTTATCAACAAGGTCGTGGTATCTTCCGATGAACTTTTTTAGAAAAAGGACGAGACGTTCTTTGGCATACACCTGGTTCATCAACTTTCTGTTCAGACACTGGTGACGTTTTACAAAGTCTGAGTAGCAGCTGCAAGCTCTTGAATACCGAATAAGTTGGGAAATGTATATCCCATATGCAGGTGAAGTTGGTAT